TCCATTTGCCTTGATCTTTATGACCCTCAAAAATTCCAAATGCCTATAGTCAATCATTTAAATTCCTCAGCTAAACCCTGTACCTCATTAAATAGAGAAATAGGGAGGGTCTTGATATGCTTTTCTTTAGGCTTCTCACTCCACAGTCTGAAAATACAGATCGCGGCATCTTAAACTATTCTCAGGAGTTTCCTTTTTAAAGAGCAGAAGAGCCTTATGTTCCTCTATACATTTCATCACATTCTCATCAGTGACACTTTCTTGCTGGTCCCTCTTCAGACTAACTTCAAATACCACCTTCAGTGGTGGAAGGAGACCATGGGACATTAAATTTACTGATGACTGTGCTTCTGTCACCAAGCGACAAAAGATTGTTGGGTGTTGCGATGGCCTAATGAAAGGCAAGGGGAAAGAGAGAAAGGGTATCCTTAGAAGACACATCTGGAAAAATTTAAGATACATGTGAAGCTTTTTCTGTGTGTACTGACTTCTTAAAGACATTGGGGTCTAATGGGAATATTGCAGAATGGAGACAGCGACCCAAAATATCAGACCATAGGATTGTGTATGTCCCAGATTCTGTGCTTTCTTCATTCTGGGTGCAAAGCAAAACAGAAGTAGGCAATTCTGTAGCGTGTACCCTGCGAAGATATAAACCACACTGGAGAAAAGCAGAAAACGCCTTTGGGCATTACGGGTGAGGGGAAAATGGCTTGAAGGCCAAAAAAAGTGAAGATATTCCCCCACAAACCTTGTTACTGGCGCTCAGCGTGGAACAACCTGTTCATCCCCCCATGTCCCAGCTGCTCTCTCAGTGCTTGGTGTGACCCACGTGGTGTCCTCAACACTGACCCCATGCAATGGCAGAAGAAGGCTGGGATCCCTCTCACCTCCCTTTAGCTGCTTCCGAGTTGGGTTTCCTGTGACGCCTCAGTGATGGGACACCATAGCTGGGCTATGAGGGACGCACATGCACATCCTCCCCTGTCTGATCTGCCGTGTAGTCGTAAAGCCTGCATCTCCCAGGAGCTCCTCCTTCCCTGCCTCCCACCGCCTTCCCCGGACAGCTGAGGCAGGTTGCTCTGAAGTCCTCCTGCTGAAACTTTCCACTTTGTGTAAGACCAGTGAAGTCTGTAGGGAGGCAGGATATTTGTTGATGGATGTAGCCAAGAGAAGCTGCTGGACACACAAGCTTCCGCCCTTTTCAGACTGCTGTGGCTGTAGTAATGAACCAACCATGTAAGAAATTTTTAGCTGCTTCTTAGAGATACGGATCCTGGAGCTGCCATACGAGAGCCTTGTTATACACCACATCACAGAGGGGCCTTTTGCTTTTCTCTGTGGCTCAGGGAATATCTGATATTGATGGAGAAGGAGCAGCCACTGCCGCCTGCTGCTCCTTCCCAGGAGGATGCAAAACGTGCCAGGAAGGGGCTCAAATAGCAGCTTTTCCATTGGGGCAATTAAGTGATTGTCAGTTTGAAGGGGGAAGAGATGATTGTTACTAACTTTCACACACCTTTGCTGATCTAAACAAACACATTTTACAGGGCTTCCAAAATCCCACAAGTGCTCCCTTGGACATCAGCTAGGATCTTTCAGTTGATTCTGGGCTCCCCTATATCAGTCATCTTTGCATTTCTTTGGGCTGAGACCCCAGTGCTTTGGTAATGCAGTAACGTGCATTACAGGATGCACAGGTAACATCATCTTCCCCTTTCCAAACCACGGTAACTTCACAGCCAAAGTTCTGCTGAGGTATCAGATCCAATGTCCAAACTATGCCAATAGATACTTTTCACATACGTCATACATTTCATTCCATCACACATCTCACACATTGATACATGAAAGCCAGCTTTTGCTCTGATCTGTGTTTTCTCATGATAGATCATTTCTTCTCTGAGCATCCAGCTTACTTTTGTTCCTGCTTTTTTAGGATGGCACAGCTGGTCTGTTTTCCACTTTCAGTTTTTCACCTTTCATCCACTGTTCCCATTCTCTCATGGTGTGATGAGCATTACAAACCAGTATCCGGACCTGGGCTGCTGCCAAAGGGGAAGCTTAAATCAGAGGCATATCAGGGCCGTTTATAAATCAAACCTGAATAGATTTTTGCTGCAATTTGTGTCTCACAGTATTGTGCACTGTGATAACTTGAAGGGGAAAGACATCAAACACTCAGGGTGTAAAGAGGCTCAGAGTGGCACTTAGTCCCCCAGAGAGAGTCTAGACTTCTCAAGTTTCTCTCCTCCTAGCAGGTAAGACCGCACGCAGTGTGGTGGTCCTTGTCCAGATCTGATGAGTCGCCCCTGCCAATAGCCCCCATTTCCCCAAGACAGCAGAGCAGCAATTAACTCCTTTCCCAGTGTATGGGTGACTTCATATCATGCACCTTCACCTGTCAGGCCCTGTGGCCCACGGAGATGTCCCCACCATATGCACATCTCCATATGCTTATGGAGATGTGCTACACCAAAGTTAGCTACAAAGTTTGCAAATCTGCTTTCTTGTCCTCCTACTTGCCTCTCAGGGGCAACGCCAGCACCTCCCAAGCTCTGGGAGCAAGAAGTGGTGATGTTCACTCGCTTGGTCAACATCAGGGGACAAACCTAGCACTGTCACACTAGTTACTGAACTCAGCGGAAACAGGCTGATGCCCTTCAGCAGGACCTGCTCTCTCGTACCTGTAGTTTTTGCCCTGTGCAAAATCCAGATTGCATGTGGCATCTTCAGTGAAGCTTCCCAGGAAAACAATGATTATTTTCCTGGAAAAGTTGTTGCTCAATCCCTGAGACTGCAGTTCCCTAAAGAGTCTAGTTCTAAGAACCAGCAATAAGAAATAGGACTGACTGTTATTCCTATCACCTTTGAGAGATAGATTCTCACCTTTGGGAGAATTCTCTTCTGTACCTTAATTTAATTTAATTTAATTTAATTTAATTTAATTTATAAACTTTTTTCTATATAGCATTCTTTTCATGTACCCAGAATCTTAACTCCTGTATTCCAGATTGCAGTCCCCTGTCTATACTTCTCATCCATCCATATCTCAAGTCTCCGTTTTTTTTCATGCCAGTCTTTACATGATTGCATATAATTTTCAGAAGATTTCACACTTCTGAAAGTCCATATGGTTGTCAAATTCTTTTCTGATGCCACTTGTTTATGGCTTCAAAATAATCAACATGGATTCACACATCCTTTTTTTTTTTTCCCTTCCCCCCGCCCCAGTCTCTTTTGTACACAACTCCAATAAGATTAATTCGCTTCTTCTCCAAATGATGCTGCCAAACTTAACACATGAGCAGAGAAGGCCTGGGGCAAAAATCTGTTCCATCTTGCTATGCTATTCATTCGTGTCAGGCTGCAAGCTAGCTGTCACTCCAGAGAGCAGCCAGGTTTTCTTTGGACCATCTACCAAAAATTGCAGCATCAGAAAAGGCACATTCTGGTGACCTGGTATGTCTAACAGACAACGAGCCCTCACGCCCAGAGAAGAGGAGGGCACACCTGCAGCAGCATCCTCGCCGATGTCACTGAACGATTCCCAGTGATGCTGAAAGCAGAGTTTTGTACCCTGCAGCTAGAGATAAGGTAAAAGTACCAAATCCCATTGATTCAACAAGGAGATGCTGAGGAGAGGAGTGGGCAGGAGGAAAGGAGCCTGGGGCCTGTCCTGCTCTGTTCTGGATACAGAGCCGCAGGCACAGCCCCAAACTTGGATCCTGTCTGAAGAGATGAGACAGGGGATGTGTCGGGGAACTGGGAGATGGGAAGAGCGGGAGCACTTCCAGGCTCGTGTTGGCCAAGGAGGGGTTAGTGCTGTACTGAGTGTGATTTTTTTGGGCCTGGGGTTTTGTGAAGGAGATGGATGAGCTGGATGGGAAGATAAAGAAAAGAAAAGGGAAGATTAAGGGGAGGTAGGGAAGGACAGGGAGGAGGAGGAGGGTCTGTGGGGACAGGCAGCATGAACCCAAGGGAACTCATCTGCAAAGGAAGGGGTTGAAACAGTGAACCAGCCCATCAGCTCAGAACAAAGGTTGTCCTGGAAACCTGGAAAACACTCTGTGCACTTGGGCCCTGTTGGCAACCTCACAGCTTCAGTGTCCTTAGCCCCTAAGGCTGATGGCTCCCCTCCACCATCCCCATATCTCACTCCGATGCCTTGAAGAGCAGGGTCTTGCATGGCCCTGTGTGTCTGGAGCTGGCGCGCTATCTGGAGCTAGAAAAAGGGAGGAAGGTCACAGCTGGATCCTATCTTTCTGCTCCTCTCCTGCCATTTGGTTTGTCCCAGCACTCCCTTGCCCTCCTCTCCAGCTCTTGCCTCCTCACCGCATACCCAGGCGGGCAGCAGCGGCAGCCCCAGCAACAGCTATGCCTATTGCTGCCGTAGGCAGCCCCGAAACTCCTTTCTTCAAAATTTCGGCAGTCTTTACAAACGTGGCATGGTGGGAATGAGCATCCTCACCCCTCCTGTGGGAAAACCACAGACCAGCCATCTCTTGAAAGAAAGCAAGGCAGCAAAGTGCTGGGAGAGAAACTTAAGGGCAGAGGCTGCATTTCTGTGGCTTTACGTGGCACAATAAGGGAATGCTAGCAACTACTCAAAATCCATGAGCAGAGTAATTAATTAAAGCTTTGCTTTCTTGTGACAAAAAAAAAAAAACAGAGTAGGAAAAAGTGGGACTCATAGCTGTGTCATGGCAAACCATATAAAACCCCACCTGCTCCTAATCACAATCCAGTTTGAAAAAATCGGTCCATGCAATAGCACATGTGAACTGCAAAAAGATGGCTGTTAATTCACTGAAGTAGGAGGAATTATAAAATTAGTATTATGTGTTGCATAATACTTAAACTGTATCATCAGTTTCGGGAGGCCCTGTCACCGAGTGCATTACACCTAAGGAGCAGGAGTGCTCTGCTGGCACTTCTAACCTAACAAGAAGTGTTGTCTTGGCAGGAGTTGGGTCATACTTAGCAGACTATCTCTGTACCAGGAGGGCTAAAATTTCCATTAAAGTAAATAGGGGAATCTGTGACAGCCAGCTGGCTTACCGTGTCATGCTCAAGGGCTTGTTCGCAGCAGATGCTCGCCTCCATCCCGAGCACAGCCCTGAGTGGTCACCCCGTGGGCTGTGGCCACTTCCTCACCCGTGGCTCCGATGCAGCAAAACAACACAGCAGAGCCGCTTGGGTCATCAAGCCGTCCGGTTATTCTGCTGCCGAGCTTTGTGATGGAAGGGAGGGTGATGAAACACAGCGGCGGGGTGAAAGCCCAGCACAGGCGCTGTCAGCAGCTAATAGTGAAACACAGGGCACAGAGGGTGCGAGGGCAGGCAGGTCTTGTTGGCAGAGACGGCTGGGGCAAGGCTCGCTTTCTACTGTGCTGTGAAGTGAACGTCACCGTGTTCACCCCGCGCTCTTCAGGGACGCTTGCTGCAAAGCGCCTGCCAGACCCTGGGGATGGGGGCGCGTCTCAGGCTCGCCAGGAACCGCTGCGGGGTGCGGAGGGCACAGTGCCAGGGCCCGCAGTGTCCCCCGCCGGGTGCCCTGGGGGTGTCACTTGCCTGGGCTGGCAGCTCCTTGCGCTGACACTCTTGTGCATGAAGACCACGAGATGGCACTAGCAACTTTTGCAGGCTGGTGGCTTCCCAGCGAGGTACACAAAAAAACACAGCATGCTGCATTGCTGTGATCCCATCACAAAATACAGGTACTCCGCGGTCATGGAGACGTGAAAGGGGTATTTCTCTTAGCGACTGGTCAGCTTTGGCTAAATCCATCTCCATTGCCATTTCATTACATACCAATGGTCAGCAGTTTTTATTTACGATGGGCAGATTGGGTTAATGGCCTCCACCTACCAAGATATTTTGTATTTTATGCCTCATATATTCAGGAGAAAAGTGATTAAAAAGGACAACAGGTTCTAAAGGGAACCATGCTTAATACAAAAGGCTGAGTCAAAGCAGAGACAGGGTGCGCCTGTTCAGTTGTGAAGCTCTCTTAAGACTCTAGATGCCCTTTCTGTGGCCAGATTGAAGCAACGCTGTCTATCTGTAAATTGCTAAATAAAAGCAGGCTGAATACTGATCTCCAGCTCCAAGGCCAGCCCAGCACTGTTTGACTTGTGTCCACACCCTTCAGAGCTGTCCCATCAGTCACAGACATACCACACAGCAGCTGGCCTGGCTTCCCCCCTGCACTGTTGCGGGATCCTTACGGCTCTAGGACACAATTATCCCACTTTGCAGGGGAGGTTGTTATCCGAAATAAAGTGAGGACCGCGTTGCAGCGCAGCTGAGAGGTGTTTTTACAGCATGACCCTGAGGGGCTGAGTTTCATGCCCTGTGGGATGCCCAAGAGCATATGGGAGAACAGGAAGATGCAAAGTCTGGTGGGACAGTGCTGGAGACAGAGGGGCCCAGGCTTGATGTAGCCTCTTCCATAGTGGGAAGAGTCCTTGGGGTAAAGGGCAACAGGTAGTGTCTTGGACAAAACTGCTTGAAGAGGTCCAAAACAGACCCAACAAGCAACCAAATGATCCAGTGTCTGAACCTTCTCCTTGTCCCTCTTCCATTTACTGCTGTAGACATTTCCCATCACAGGATTTACAATGCCTTGCAGGGCTTTCCACATCGAGCAGTTGGATTCCTCCCCCACATGCACATGTGCAGGACATTTCCTCCCAGTTATCTCACAGCCCGTTCGTTCCCAGGATCAGGGCAACAGGATTCTTCCCAGGTACTGAAGTAACATTCCCCAGCACTCTGCATTGACTTCTGGAACAGGAAGCGCTCAGTGAAATTATCTGGGTGAAGGCTGCAAATAAACGTGACTATCTTCTCATGTAGGGCATGAATTCAGTGCTGTTCATTGCCATGAACTGCTGTGGAAGCCCAAGGAATGAAAAGAGATTCAACAGACTCTCTGAAATTTGACAAATTGATGGAGGATAAATCCATCGGTAGCACAATGTAGCAGTTGGTCACACAGGGATCTGAACACAGTTTTTGGCTCAGGAAGTCTGGATTCTGTGTAAATTTAGCAATTTACACTATACTGAGTCCTGGAAGCCGGGAAAGGATGCCACAGGGAGGATTGCTCTGTACTCAAATGACAGGCTTACATGAGAGAGAATTCATTATCTGAACAGAAATGATTTTGAGTTAGTTTGGGGAAGAGTCAACATGGTTTTATAAAGGGAAATCACACCTCATAAATCTATGAGAGTCTTCAGAAGGCATCAACAAATAGGTGTACAGCTAGGAACAGTTCTCCAAAGTCCTTCATCAAAGCCTCTTAAAGAAACCATGCTGTGATGGTTTAAGAGGTAAGGGTATGTGAATAAAGGACTGATTAAAAGGCAGGAAACAGAAGGTAGAAATAAATAGCCAGTTCTGACAGTGGAAGGAGGTTGGCAGTGGAGTCATGCAGGGATTTGTACTCAAGCTTATATTGTTCAGCATGACTTAAACCTGGAAAAAGGGGGGCTTAGTGAGATGGGAGTTTGTTGAGGTTATTAGGCATCCAAGATAGTAAAGATGATGGACAACTGGGGAAGTTGCAGAAGACTCTCACAATACACAGCAACTGGGCAATAAAAAGGCAGATGAAATTCAATGTAGCTAATTCTAAAATTAATTACATCAAAAAAATAAATCTCATTTTACATACATGATAGTAGGCTCTGAACTCACTTTTACTGCTTGGGAATTGGACCTTGGGGCTATATAAAGATCTATGAAAAGGGTAGCTCAGTGCTCAGCCGCAGTCAAAGCAGCAAGTCACATTACTAGGAAGGGAACAGAGAATAAAATGGAAAACACCTTCAAGCCATTCTGTAAATCCACAGTGCATCTATATCTCCAAAACTATGTGTGGTTATGGACCCCCTAGCTCAAAAAGCACATAGCAGAATAGAAAAAAAAGAACAGAAGGGTAACAAGAATGAACAAAAGCATGGAATGGTTTTCCTATGAAGAATAACTAACTAGATTAGGACTTCTCAGCTTGAAAGGAGAAAACAGAACAGAGGGAGGTTTTATAGAAATCTATAAAACCATGAGTGGCCTGAAAATGGTGAACAAGAAATGGCTATTGACTGTCTCTCCCTAGAGCAAACCTAGGGTGTATCAAATGGAGTTAGCAGGTGGCAGGTTTGGCAGATAAACCTTCCTGTACAACATGTAGTAGTTCCACATGTAGCAGTGGAACTCCCTGCCACAGGATGCTGCAGATGATAAAAGGGCTCAGAAAGCAACTGGACAAATTCAAGAGAGGAAAACCATTTACAAAAGTGCCATCTATGGCACCTCAGCCACACAATCATTCATATAGCCTTTGGATATGTTCTTATGAAGGCAAACTCATGTGTCCAAGCTAGGCCACTGCAGTGCTTGCTACCTAGGCATGAAACTGCAGGCCTTGAAAAGCTTCTGTACAGAATCACAAGAGCTCATCTCCTTGCTGATACCAGCCACTGAAAACACCAGTGTGTTCCAATATTCTGATTTCTTCAACAGTTAACGCATCCATGGTTTTACTGTGCTTCCAAAGCCCTTTGTGAGATGGGACTGTCTTACCAAGACCAGGGTAGCTCCAGTCTGCTGGGCAGATGGGATGGCCAGTGCCAATGCTCAGGCTGCTGAACCTGAAAATCACTCCTGAAAGACCCCATCACTCTCAGGATGTAAAAACAGATAATTAGAGATGTGATGGGACAGTTCTGTAACTAGAGCTGCCGTGGCTGGATACAGGTTCTCTAGGAAAGGAAGGCAGATGGTGGTGGGGTTTGTGCTCTAGGCAACTGAGTGGCATGAATGCATGCACGTTTGCAAGGCAACAGAGGATGCAACAGTCAAGAGCTCATGGGTCAGGAGAAGCTAACAAAAGGGATATTATTGTGGGCATTTCCTACAACCCACTCAATCAAGAAGAGAAGACAGACGAAGCCTTCTTTGAACAACTGGAAACTGGTTCAGAACAGACTAGAACAGTTCCTGTCTTCTGTAACTGGAAAAACCTCTGTCTTCACTTACAAGATCTTCACTCACAAGGTCTGCTGTCAGGCCTGCCACGTGTCTGTATCTAGTAGCAACCAAACAAAGTTTGGAGGAGCAAATTACTAATCACACTAATCACAGCCAGGGATGCAATAAGCTGGACATACACAAGTCCGTGGGGCTAGATCGGCTACATCTGACAGTGCTAAAGGAACTGGCCAATGTCATTGTGAAACTAGTCTCTATCAGTTTTGAAAGGTTGTGGTGATTGGTGAAGTTCCAGATGGCTGGAAGAAAGAAAATGTCATAACCCACTTCAAGAAGGGCAAGAAGGATAATCTGGGGAACTACAGGCTTATCAGTCTAACCTCAGTCCCCTGGAAGATTATCAAGAAATCCTCAAAGCCATTTCCATGCTCAAGGTGATTTGGAAAAGCCAGCACGTATTTGCCAACAGTAAATCATGCCTGACTAACCTGATTGCCGCCTTTGATGAGATAACTTCCTTGGTGGATGGAGAAGGAACAGTGAATGTAATTTTCCTTGACTTCAGTAAGGCTTTCAACATAGTCTCCCACAGTATCCTTGTAGCCAAATCAAGGAAACATGAACTAGATGGGTAGACTACAACATGGGTGAATAACTTGACTGAATTGTCAGGCTCAGAGTGTACTGGTCAACAGTTTAAAGTCTAACTGGTAGCCAGCTGCAAGTGGCATTCTTCTGAGGTCAGCACTGGGTCCAGTGCTGTTCCAACATTTTTGTCTATGTCTTGCATAAAGGGATGAAATGCACCCTCAGCGAGTTTGCAAATGACCCCCAGCTGGGGGGATTGACTGATACACTGAAGGGCAGGGCTAGCATTCACAGAGACCTTCACTAGCTGGAGGAAGGTGCCAAAAAGAACCTCACAAAGTTCAATAAAGACAAATGCAAGTCCTGCACCTGGCATGGATTAACCTGGTATGACAGCACAAGCTAAGGACCTACTGGCTAGGGAGCAGCTCTGCAGAAATGGATCTTGGGGTCCCAGTGAATAGCAAGTTGAACATGATTAAGCAGTGTACCCTTGCAGTGATAAGACCAGCAGCATAC